TTCACACTTTTTGTGCCATCTTTGTTATTCTTGTTTCTACGCTCTTGTTTCTTAAAGTATGTGATTCACAGTTAATTTTAATTAAACACCAAAGCGTCACTCTTCTGAACACTTTTAAGTTTTCACTGTCTCAGTTATTTCTCTGCCCTCTTCCCATTAACTGATAGACTTTTTTGTTTTCTGTCTTGCTTTTAATGCATGTCTAGATCCACTTTTTGGTGGCTTTGTGTGCCTTTTCCCAGCTCCCCATGTCAAGCTTTTCAAAATTAAGAAACAAAACAAGAGGTGTAGGACCATGCTTTCTGTGCCCTGTCATCCATGCCAGGGGAGCCGGGTCGCTTCATTTAGAACGTAAGCAAAATTAGGTGATTCTGCCCCTCTGCCCCGCTCTGGGGAGACCCCCCTGCAGTGCTGTGTCCAGCTCTGGAGCCCTCGGCACAGGAGAGACATGGACCTGCTGGAGCGGGGCCAGAGGAGGCCCCAGCAACGCTCCGAGGGCTGGAACAGCTCTGCTGGGAGGACAGGCTGGGAGAGCTGGGGGGGCTCAGCCTGGAGCAGAGAAGGCTCCAGGGAGACCTTACTGCAGCCTTTTTACCAAGGCCTGTAGTGACAGGACAAGGGGTGACGTCTTTAAACTAAAAGAGAGTAGGTTTAGATTGGACATAAGGAGGAAATTTGTTGCATTGAGGATGGTGAGACACCGGAGCAGGTTGCCCAGAGAAGTCGTGGATGTCCCATCATTGGAAGTGTTCAAAGTGAGGTTGGACAGGACTTTGAGCAACCTGATCTAGTGGCAAATGGTAGAATCATGGAATCATTTAGGTTGGAAAAGACCTTTAAGATCTTTGAGTCCAACCATAAACCTAACACTGCCAAGTCTACCACTAAATGTCCCTGCCTATGGCAGGGGGCTTGACCTAGATGATCTTCAAGTGTCCCTTCCAACCCAAACCATTCTGTGATTCTGTGAAAATCTGTTGGGAAGACTTGTCTTAGGGAGATTATTGAAATTATTGGTACTTATTAATTGGTACTTATTTAGGATGAAGCAAGTGGGGGAGAAATGACAGTGTGTTAATGGCTATCTACCACATTAACATTTTTTTAGTGTCATCTTCTGCTTCAGCTGGAACTTCAGGCTCAGAACTAGATTAGTTCTATTTATATCCTATTTGGCTCTGAATGAAAACTGGTCTGGAGCCTGTTGTGTTGTGGGAGTTGCTCTGGGGTGAAAAACAAAAACTTTTTGGAGGGTTGCATTTTTTTTTTCAGTAGATTGGTCTTAGCTTAGCTTAGTTCCGTCTCTGGTTTCTGTGACCACCAATGCCTGTGGCAGGGCAGGAGAATGGGGCTGGCGATTTTGCATCTTGTCCTACCAGTAGGTGACACAGCTAAGTCTTCCTACAGTTCCAACCTTACTGATTCTTGCACTTATAAAAAAGTTGCAGATTTGTGGCCAAAATATTCTGAGTTTTAATTGTTTCCAAATATGCTACAATACATACAGGCCGAAGTGTATGTATATATGAAGTATGCCATTGGCATATCTTCAGGTAATTTAGTTAACATCCTTTTAAAAGAACTAGAGTAATTACTCTTGTTGGAAAACTGTTTCCAAACCTCTCCATAGTCAGAAAACTTCTAACTTTTTGTTTTGTGTTTTGAAAACATTAAGATCTCATCTTAATCTGCAAGTATAAACAGTAACTGCTGCAAGTTAAAAGGAAAAACAGTGAAAACCTCAAGGTTTTGATTATCCCTGCCAGGAATAAAGGGAAGCTACAAAGTCTACTGAAAGTTTCCGTGGAAGCTGGGGGTGAGGGGAATTTGCTGCCACGGGTGGCAGGGCTTTGACTTGCTGGATCGCATCAGTTTGGCAAAACCCAGCAGCCTCTGAGTGACAGACAGGGAACCGAAGGGTTTCTGAATCTAATTCAACTTATTTTTATTCAACCCATGTGTCTGAATTCACCAGATGGATGTTTCTGAATCTTTTGCCAGTAAATATAAAATCTGCTGGTCAGGAGTGCGGATTACCAGTGACGGTGTGTAATGCACACTTCTGTGTGCTAACATTGAAAGGATGGAGTCATTCAAGGGGATTGAGGCTACAAGAAATCAAATGCCTCTTATAAAGAGAAACAGTGTTAAATGATTAGAAAATCTTTTGTCCTTTCAAATGGTGCAGAAATCAATTATTTTCTTTCCAAGATTGAGCACAATAGGATGAAACTCTCGTCTGCCAACAAAGAGCAGGATGCGGGGTTTGATCCTGCCACTGTGACTGTTTCAGTGCTATCACCGTGCTCGGAAGGAGCATCCCAGTGCCAGCCTTCCCAACAGCCCTTCCAAGTCAGCTTCATTCAGGAATCATTTCTGTTGACACGCAGCTTGCTCAAGAGGAGGAGTAAGCAGGAGCTTTCCTGCAAAATCAAGTAAAAGGCCGTTTCTTCCATCATCTTACCCATTTCAGTTGTTCTCCTAGGCTGTGGCACACATCAAAACAGCCGAGCAGCCTTGTCCTGGACCTGAACATCTAGAATTAGCACAGGGAGGTGTGCTGGAGGAACACGTGTGATGCTCCGATCATCGTGCCTTCCTTCCCAGCTGCGTCCCGGTGCGAGGACCGGTCTGGTTCAATTTGCAGCGGTTCTGTGCCAATGGGCACAGCCCTGGCTGAGGGCAGCCACCGTGCAGCATCACTCTAACCCAGAAACTGTAATGGAGTGTTGTCAACGTAGATATACGGTTGTGCATACATTTTTGTTTTCATCTCTTCTACACAGAGTTAGGAATTTGGGTTCTCTGTCTTTTGACCCATCTATAAAATGTACAAGTTGTTGCATAAAGATACTATGCATAAAATTGCCTCCACCTGATGTTTGACCACTAGCTAAACTGGCACAACTTTATAGATAAATGTTGTTCCAGTATTTAAAATCTCTTCTGGCATGCTGAACCCATGTAAGCAATGAAACAGTTGATGTGGCTTGTCTTTACCGCTGCATGTTTCCCTCAGGGTAGCTTATACGCTTTTATTACCCTGGAGGGAAAAAATACACCTTTTTAGCTATGAAGATAAGGTCTGAGACAAGCCTTAAACATTCAGAAGTAATTGAAGGTTGCTGCGGGCGTGTTACAGATTGCTGCTGCTCTTGGGACTGTCTCCGTGGAAGTTCAGCTTGATAAAATTCACAAAGAACTGGAACTGCTCAAGGACGCAATTGAAAAAACATTTTGAGAAGCCGGTGGAAGGTTTCCAGTGCGGCCAGTTGCAGGCGCAGAAGCAGGAGCAAGGAATGCAGCCTGGCCTCCCCAGCATTGCCACTGCTTGGGATTTTTATCACACGTGTTGGGACACTTTGGATGTTTTCCTTTAAAAACAAGCCTAGCTCGCGCAGGCACGCGAGTAAGAGGGAGTAGCAGCTCTTTTTTTAAAACAATTTAAAAAAAGGCTTATAATCTATATGCTTGATGTTTGATTACAAGGGATTTTTTTTTTTCCCCTCTTTTAAAGCAAATATTAAAGAAATACTTTGCGATTTGTTCAGCTCTGGTGTTGGCAGCGTTCCCTCTCCGGAGCTCCTTGAGCAGGAAGCTCCGGAGTTTGCACTCACCTCACTGGTGAGATGGGAGTGAAGTTACAGGGCTTTTCTCTAAGAACTTTAAAAGCAAACCGCTAGAAGGCAAGACAGGTGAAAAGAGGATTTAGTCAGTCTGTAAATGGCCTGTTTCAGCACCAGCCTGTGACCCGTCCCCAGGGAGGAGGCAAGTGCAGCCATGAACCGCAGGATGCCCGCCGGGGCAGTCGGCCGCCGGCCACTGTATTTGATTTACTTACCCTGCCTTGAACCTTTCATTTTGGGCCAATGTGTTTGAGGAATAAAAATGCTTCCTAAATAAAACATGCAATGGAGCTGCTGGTTTATATCCCTTAATTCCAGCAAGCTGGGAAAAGGAAATACCACTGATGTTTCCTCCTTGCTCGTACCCGTTTCATCCCAAGCGTAGCACGTCGGGATGGTGAACCGTCTGGAGCATCGATATGAGCTGAGCCAGGATGGCTGTTCAGGGGTTGTTGTTTTATTCCGGCTGTTCCCTCTTCCATCCGTTCCCTCTTCCATCCAAGCTCCTCCGACTGTAGTGCAACTTGCCCAGACTTGCGCTGCACAGAAGCGGGAGGGAGCTTTGAGGCCGACATAAAGAAGGGAGTCATTTGGGGAAATAACAGACTCCAGGGGTGGAGGTTAAACTATAACCCCGTGCCAGTGTGCTTTTGGTTTCTGAATTCCCGAGGGGGAAGGGAGGAAGCGGGAGCAGGACGGGGAATTCCTGCCGGACGGAGCAGCCCGCCCGCCCAGCTTCGAAATACTGACCTCGGGGAGTGCGTTGCAAGCAGGATAAAAGCCGTGCTTGCTCCGGACCGGCAGGACGGCACTGCAAACGGCTGTGCAGGTGAATGGGACGTGGAGGAGTAAAAACACCATTTATATGGAAAATAGCATTCTCGATGTGTTCGTTTAAACAGCAGAAGGGTAGGGGTATGAATTCGGGATGTTGCACTGCAGCTGTCAGCCTGTGTTTCTTGGGTATGTGGCTGGAGCAGACGCTTAAAGCCTGGTCTTATTTCTCGGCCTCAAGTTCCGCTGACATCTCAGGGCTGTTACTTAACCTCTGTGTTTACATCCTCCTAATACTCCCTTGATTGCTTAACTGCTTGTCAAGAACTCTTGAGAATCTCAAAAGAAACTATAGAAGTGCAAAATGGTATTACTTGGCCATCCTCCTCTGAATGTTTCTGTGTGTTAAACAGAGCTTATGTTGGCGCCGAAGCGCACCGCTTTGATGGCGGTGTCATAATATAAGCATATGTGCTTGAAAAAATGCTGCAAAACCTCCTGTGCAGTCCGTGGAGAGCTTACTCTTTTTGGGAAATAATGGACATCCCCAGTCATCATACACTAAAAAGTGTTTCCTTTTTTTTTTCCTTCTCTTTCCAGACTTTATATTCAGAGCACCCATTAAATTAAGCAAACCAGGGGAACTCCGAGAAGAATATGAAAGCCAGCTAAGGAAGGTACAGTATTCTGTGTAATTGCGGTTTTTCTTCAAGAATAACTTGGATTTCCTGCAGGAAT